AAGTTCGAGTCAAGTTCTCGAAATCCCCAGCAGAGTCGCCAGAAACTGTAGACGCGCCTGAATGTCCCAGGAAAATCCCGTTTTGTTCATTGGGCTCACCACAGTTCGGACTCAATGTCACGGTTCTGAATCTAATCTTGCAAAGCGCAATGCGAGATTGATAAATCACCAAAGAGTCCAAATCCGGCAAATCATTTTGAAAAACTGATTTTTAGAAAAGAAGTGCCAAACATGGACTGCTTTGCCAGATACAGAGTCGCCACCTAAATATTTTATTTTTGAAAAATTTAGGAAACCCCGACTCGTGCCAAAGGCCACATGTCCGCCATCACCAAAGTTGTCTCAACTCGAGAACTTGGATACGAGAGGGGAAGGTCATGCAATGAGCACCCCCGCTCGCCCGATCAAAGATCGGCCTTTACTAACATGATATCCTGTTTTTGAAAACACATGTGCTCTTATTCCGGTTATTAACCTAGAATTACTATGTGATGCGCACAGCATATAAGTATAGACTGGATCGCCAAAGTTGGAACAACATCTCATGTTTGTTTTTGAAAGCGGTTTGCTACTCGCAAGTAGGATAAATGCAGATTTTGCCACCCTCAAGTGGGCATAGAAAACATGGTGATTTGCCACTCTCAAGTGGGCTTAAACTCACAATCAATAAATTATTCCAATTCTAGTAATCCAACCTTCACCCACAGGCATTCAGGCAGTTATATCACATAGCAATTAGCCTCATCGTAAGCATGCTATCATGGCAGTCACTCACACACATGCAAGGATGCTAAAGTATAAACACTTACGGAGTACTCTGAGCCAAAACAAAAGCTATGTTAGAAATCAATGCATGATCCTAGCTATGTCGAGAATGCCTAATGCAACACATACAAAATGCAACTAAGATAGGCTCGGCTATTCTAAAATGTCATGTGAAATGCAATTTGATACATGCATTCAAACAGGAATTGAAATACAATGCAGTTAGTATGATGCGCCGAGCCCGATGCATGCAAGATAGATGAATGGATGCAAACATGCGAGCATAAGGATGCTAATTGAAACATGCCCTAAAACTAATCATCGTAAGCTGGTAAATAAAAGGGAGAAAGAAGTGGGGGTTAGAAGACATGCATCACACACACGCACACGTATTTACAATATTGCTCTCTTGGAGGAGGGTCCGAATGAATAATACAGAACCAACTAGCTAATCTAAGCTAATCTAATTAAACTAATTATTACATAACGAAATAAGTAACAAACTATAGCTAATTATTACACAATTCTAATTAATCAACAAATTAACAAAGTAAGCAATTTGAATAAGCATGTAAACTAAATGAAATAGGCTGCCTCAGCTCTGCTTTGGATGACAAAGGATGCATGCATGCTCGAGTCGCCTTGTTCGGAAATTCCTCGCGACGCCCCGATTTGCCTCTATTTGCAATTGATCTCAAAAACTTGCACCAAGCTCTAGAGAAATGAAACTCCACCTTGTGAATCTATGGAAAGGCTGCCGACCAGTTATTGGCTTTGGAGACCACCTGCCGACCACTTTTTGTGGTGAAAACCCGAAAAAGTGGTTGGCCGACCACTTTATCTGGTCGGCCGACCACTTTATCTGGTCGGCCGACCAGTTTTTGCTGCTTGTTTCTGGTTTTCTGCAACAGAGGGCAAGAGAGGGGCATGGCAAAGTATTTGCAACACATGTGTGCACAACCATCCTCCCCATCATTACATGAGAACAAGGGAGTATAGTTCTCGATCCTCGGGCCATCAAGCACGCATCTTGATGCATGATGGCCGAGGAGCCAAATTGCGCAACTCAATATGAAATGAATGCACATAAGAACTTGTAAAGCCTAAAACACCATCATGTATAATCAAGAGTGTCGGCGACCGGGAATTCAGGCGCGTTTCATCACTTCGAGTATAAGACGCCCCTCATTTCCCGTGTTTGGGCTAACTCCTATCCCAAACACAATGCAACAAATGCGGCACGCACAATGCGACTTCAAGTATGCAACCTAACGCGATACAACTTAGGCATGTAAACGTGCAAGGGATGGACATGCAAACATGTGACTAGCATACACAATGCTATGAATTACATGGCATACACAATGCTCATGATACTTGCATACACAATGCACATGATAACTAACATACATAATGCGATGAAAATGGCATACACAAGTGTAATGATCAATCATGCAACCAAATGGCATACTCAATGCTATGAACTACATGACATACTCAATGTGCAATGGCCTTAAACCAAGATGGATAGGCCTCAGCCATGTCCAAATCAGTGGCCAATGGTGATGAAACCAAGGCAATAAAACACATACAAGCATGCACAATGCAAGCGCCCAAGCCTAAGGCACAAAACACAACTTTCCAAAAGCATTGAAATGATGCAACATGGAGTACAATGGCATTTGTTCTAGCACTGAAATGGCATACAAAATGACATCGAATCATGCAAACAACTCACACAATGCATGTTGAAAGGCTCAAGTATCGAAAGCTAGTGAAGCATATTACACTAGAGGCATGCAAGGCGATGCTCAAATGACCAAACCAACCCCAAAAAGACCCTATGCAGGCCAAAACAGTAGCAAAATGAGTTGGGATGATGGCTTTGAAAAGTACAAAAATGGGGCTCACGCAATGGCTCACAAATAGAGCATAAAAGCATAACTCTAAAGAGCACTTAAAGAGTGGAAAATATGGAAGTATAGTAGCCCTACATGCTCTGAAATAACATTCTCAATGATGCCAAAACATGCAAATATCTCAAGTTAAGCATGCAAGAAACCTCAAAACCCAAAGCTAGTCAAGGCTATTACACAACAAGCATGCATGGCAAGAATCATTCGACCAAGAGGCCTCAAAACAGAGCTAAGGCAGCCCAAAATATGAACAAAACCATGTTGAGCAAAGCCAAAATGTGCTAGAATAAAGAGCCAAAACATCATGCGAATCGAGCTAGTATACAAGATTTACACTACAAGCATATGAAGCATGTCAGGGGTTACCAAACCAGCCAAAAAGTAAGTTGGGAGGAGATAGGGGATGGACTCCATTGATAACTAAGTTGGCTGGAGTGTCCAGGGTGAATGTCCCGAAATCCTAATCACGTTTTCATAACGTAGATAATTGCAGTATTGAAATGTTTTAATATGAGTTGTAGTCTCATTTGAATTGTGGATAATGGAAGTGCTTTAATATGAGTTATAGTCTTATTTGATTGTTGGCTAGATAATGAGCCATGTTTATGAATTTCAATTGGATAAGTAAAGGAAAGTGGAATGAAACACGGATGTATTTGTCATGGAACTGGGAAGTGTTGTAAATTGGTTTACAAGTGTTAATTATTTATCGAATGCTAATGTTTTAGTTATTACTCATATTTAGTTTAGTATATCTCCACTGGGTTTTGGCTCACCCTATATGGGACATCATTTTTTAGGTTCAGGTGATATGCCACCTCCAAGGACGTAGCTTGGGAGGCTTAGAGGCTGAAAGATCTTTTTGTTGTTATCTTTTTGGTATTACATGTAAATTCAAGCCAAGGGATTAAATGTGTTTTGAGTTAGCACTCTCTTTTTGTAACCAAGTGTTGGCTTGGAAAGTTGTAAGCCCGTAGGGCATTTACTTTTGTTTTCAACATGTAATACTTTTGTAATGAATACTCTGATAAATGGAAATCTTCTTTATTCTCTTATGTCTATGGATGTCATGAATGTTAGGTTCATATGTATTATTTTGAGGGTGTGACCTAATTCAACTTACGGTAATCGATACACAACCGGAACGACCCATCCTTTTTCTTCGCAAAGAGAGCCGGCACTCCCCAAGGTGATGTACTAGGGTGAATGAAGCCCTTGTCCAGAAGCTCTTGGAGTTGAATCTTCAACTCGTGCAACTCTGCGGGTGCAAATCTATACGGCGCCATAGAAATTGGTGCCGTTCCAGTCACTAAGTCGATGGTGAACTTAATCTCCAAGTGGGGTGGCAAACTAGTAAGGTCGTCAAGAAACATGTCCGGGTATTCACACACTACCCTTGGCAACTCAACTCGAGTCCTGCCGTTCTCACTATCCAGGAGAGTAGCAAGAAGACCACTAAGCTCGTTCCTACTACGAGGATCAAATACTGGCGACAAGACCCTATCAACCCGGTCTCCTAGAAAGTAAAAACAATCACCACTCGAGGTGCACACGGTGACCCTTCGACGAAAACAACCAATCCATGCCTAGAATGACGTCAAAACTCAACATGTCTAGCAACACAAAAGCAAACGGGAGTCTACGCCCAACAACCTCTATCTCACAACCTTAACAACCCCGATCTAAGTCAACTGTATCCCCAACTGGAGACTCTACTCTGTGCGGAGATGCTAATTATGTCACATCTAGCACCAATGCAGATACGAATGTAGCAAATACGAATGAATGAGACGCACCCGTATCTATCAACACGTTGGCCAAAGAATTACGCACAATAAAAATACCTCTCACAATGGAGGGTCCTGGCAACTACTCTAGCTCGGTAACAGCGTACACGTGTCCTTGTGGCCTATGATCAACAAGCTTGTCCCTCGGAGCATAGGCCTGCTGTACAGACTGAGTCGAGGCAGCTCCCTGATGAACTCGTGTAGCCTGAGTTGAGTGGGCCTGCTAGTGGCTCTAAGTCTGCCTCAACCCCGATGCGCTAAATGCGCCTCCTAACTGCAGGCAAGCTCTGTTCATGTGCCCTGACTGACCGCACAGGTAGCAAGTAGGCCCCTGACCCCTACTCTGAGACTGGCTCTGAGATTGGTTAGGTGGTGGTGGTGGTGGCAACATCTGCTGTCCTCCCCCCTTCTGTGGACATGCAAAGACTTTGTGACCCAGTTGCCCACACTTGAAGCAAGAAAACCCACTCGGTGCACTCTTTCCCCTCTTTCCCGGGCCCGCATTAGGCAAGGGAAAAGTAGATCTAGACTATTACGGCTGAGACTGGGATGAAAAAGTGTTTCTGCTCTTCTTGTTGGGCCTAAAGTCCCCCTGTGACCCTTGGCCCTTAGACCTCGAATTCTGAAGTCTCTCCTCCTCGGCCTCTATGGTAATCTCTACATGTGCAGCCACCTCCACAAGGCAATCATAATTCCGGATCATGTTTCCGACAACCTTGAACAAAATCTTCGTCCTTAACTTCTTCTCAAACTCAATGCAACGGTGCTCTTCCGTCGTTACCAATTCCGGTGCAAACCGGGACAAACTAGAAAAGGCTGCTTCGAACTCGGCCACGGACATATTAAGTTGCTTAAGGTCTTGGAACTCCTGCCTCAACCTCTCCCTAGCCGTGGGAGGAAGATACTTGTCTTGGAAGGTCACCACAAATGCCTCCCATGTTGGTTCAATTCGGCCCTTGGCATACTTCCACCATTGGCCTGCGTCCCTCTTGAGATAGTAACTCGCAAGAGTCACCCTAAGCTCACTGTCTTCTATGTGAAGCATCTCGAAGGTCTTCACGGTCTGTTCTAGCCATTCATCTTCTTTCTTTGGCTTGGGGCCACCATGGAATTCATCCGGTTTGGCCCGTAGAAATTCCCTCGTGAGGAAGCTCGCCCTTGTCTCTACGGTGTTCTCCCTAGCTTGGTTCTCCGCCCTCAAAATGTTCATGGACTCCCTTAAAGCCCTTGTCATCTCCCGGGCTAAGGCTCCCATTGCGGCTTGACCCGCTAGCCCCGGTACCTCCGCTTGCCCCACCTGTTCTGTGATACCCCTGTTCCGTAGTATGCTAATTGGTCCTTAAATTGAGTAGGATTATGTGTTTATCATGACTTTATGTGCCATTATGTGAATATATGTGATTTTGTGGTCTGTTAATGTGCATATAAGCACGGCTCTATGGACAAAGTTTTTTTTTATTTATTGCTTCCATTTGGCCCCTTTACTCTGACAAGTCTTGTCTGTTTTGGTCTGAGGCCGTACGTAATCTCAAGATTGCTAGCCGGTTATGTCCTTAACCCATAGGGGCGGGTTCGGGTCATGACAGAGTGGTATTAGAGCACGAGTTAATAACTCACACACTTGTCCAAAAGGAGCAATAAGCGTCTAGATAAGATCTAGGATGCATTCATGTGATAAATACGAGTTTGGAAGCATTGATTATATGCTCAAATGCTTTGTTAGGATTAATTATATGTGTAAGTTGTGAACTACTTGCATTGCAAATTATCTGGAAATATGTGCTTCTTAGAGTATGCACACTTGTGTACCTTTTGTATGAAATATAATGCAAGTTTAATCAGATGGTGAGAACCAGAGGTGATGAGTTAGAGGAATCCTCTACTGCCAGACTGGACAGAATGGAAAGGCTGATCCAAGAAATGGCAGAAGCTTTGAGACAGCAACAGGAGTGGCAACAATAGTGGCAGCAACCACACCCGCCACCTCCACCTCCGGTACCACCTGTGCCAGATAATCAAAATGATGACCGGATAATAGCTCTCACCAAAGAATTCAAGAAAATGAAACCACCACAGTTCCATGGCGGACTGGATCCTTTGAAAGCTGAGGCTTGGGTTCTTGGGATCGAAAAATTGTTTGAGGTGTTTCCGTGCTCGGATACACAGAAAGTGCTTCTAGCCACCTTTATGCTAGAAGATGAAGCGAGAAGATGGTGGATGTTGATGAGGGAAAACCACAGAGATGTTGATTGGGTGAAATTTTTGGAAATATTCTATGACAAGTACTTTTCGCAGTGTGTCCGGAATAGGAAAGTGGCAGAGTTCATGGAACGCAAGCAAGACAGCATGACTGTAGCTGAGAATGAGGCCAAATTTACTGAGTTGGCCAGGTTTGCACCACACGTAATTGACACTGATTATAAGAAGGCAAGGCATTTTGAAGGTGGACTCCGAAGTGACATCCTAGAGAAAGTGAATGTCCTGAAGTTAGAGACCTACATCGAAGTGCTTGACCGGGCCATCATATCAGAGGCTAACATAGCTAGACAAGCTAAGCCAACAACCGAATGGAAAGGCAACAAAAGACAATGCTTCTTTTCGAAGAAGAAATTTCTGAAAAAGCAAAACACGGGCTCCTCAACTACTTCAAGTTCTTCCCGAGACATAGCTCCCATGTGCAACATTTGTAGCAAAAGGCACCATGGAGTCTGTTACCGTGCATCGGGAGCCTGTTTTAAGTGTGGGAAACAAGGGCATATAGCCCGAGATTGTAATCAGAATAGTGGGAGGATAGCTGCTACTTCCACTGCATCGATCCCAAAGCCGGGAAACACTTTGAGATCCACTACTACTGGAGATACAGTGAGACAGGGGAGAGTTTTTGCACTCGTTCCGGGCGATACACGGAATGCCAATGCCGTTGTCTCAGGTACTATTTCAATATGTAATCAGGATGCCTTTGTATTAATTGATTCTGGATCGACGTACTCATTTGTGACATATACATTTGCATCTAGACTGAATAGACCCCTAGAGTTATTGCCATATTTGTTATGTGTGTCTGCTCCATCGGGGGAATCTGTGTTATGTGACTATATATATCGGGTTTGTGACATGCATATTGAGGATGCTACCCTATACGTAGATTTGTTGCCCTTAAACTTTAGACACTTCGATGTAATTTTGGGCATGGATTGGTTGACCAAATATTGTGCCACTATAGATTGTGTGACAAAGAGGGTTATGTTTAAACCCCTAGAACAGAAAGAGATTGTGTTTGTGGGTAATGGGGTAGTGCCTCCACCGTATTTGATATCCGCAATGAAAGCATGTAAACTGATTAGGAAAAGGTGTCAGGGTTATTTGTGCTATGTGTTGTCTGAACAATCTGAGAATGTTGAATTGAAAAATATTCCTATTGTTAGAGAATTTCCAGATGTGTTTCCGAATGAATTAACAGGGGAATTGGCAGATAGGGAGATCGAGTTTACCATTGAAACTGTGCCAGGCACCCAACCTATTTCTAAAACTCCCTACAGAATGGCTACCCCCAAAATGAAAGAACTAAAGGAACAGTTGCAGGACCTTCTTGATAAAGGGTTTATCCGGCCTAGCACTTCACCTTGGGGTGCACCAGTGTTGTTTGTAAAGAAGAAAGATGGTACTTTGCGCCTGTGCATCGATTATCGGGACTTGAATAAGGTAACAGTGAAGAACAAATACCCCCTACCCCATATTGATGACTTATTTGACCAGTTGCAGGGATCACAGGTGTTTTCTAAGATTGATTTGACATCCGGGTATCATCATGTAATACCCCTGTTCCGTAATATGCTAATTGGTCCTTAAATTGAGTGTGATTATGTGTTTACCGTGATTTTATGTGCCATTATGTGAATATAGGTGATTTTCAAAGTTTTATCTGCTCACCGTAGGAATATCTGTTTGAATAATCAGCTTTGGAAATTAAATTGGAGGTCTTATCGGCCACAGAACCCGAAATTGATTTCGGGTTTGTGATTGGCATAATTTTTGGAGCCTACGGTGAAATTTAATTGAAAATTGATTCTGGTCAATTTAAACTGATTAAAATGATAAATTAAGTACCCCATTATTTTATATTATTATATTGACTTAGTGGGGCTTGTTGTATATGAGCACTACTCAATTAAACTCCCTCTCTAATTCTCACTTGGCTGATATACACTCTAAGGAGAGGAGAGGGCCGGCCATTAGAGAGAGAGAAGAGAGAAAAAATCTGTGTTTGATCTTGAGGGCTTGGAATCTCTTCAGCTCGAGCGCTCTATTCCACGCTGAGGCCGTTTGACATGAATGAATGGGCCAAAGGCCGTTTGACATGAATGAATGGGCCAAAGGCCGTTTGACATGAATGAATGGGCCAAAGGCCGTTTGACATGAATGAATGGGCCAAAGGCCGTTTGACATGAATGAATGGGCCAAAGGCCGTTTGACATGAATGAATGGGCCAAAGGCCGTTTGACATGAATGAATGGGCCAAAGGCCGTTTGACATGAATGAATGGGCCAAAGGCCGTTTGACATGAATGAATGGGCCAAAGGCCGTTTGACATGAATGAATGGGCCAAAGGCCGTTTGACATGAATGAATGGGCCAAAGGCCGTTTGACATGAATGAATGGGCCAAAGGCCGTTTGACATGAATGAATGGGCCAAAGGCCGTTTGACATGAATGAATGGGCCAAAGGCCGTTTGACATGAATGAATGGGCCAAAGGCCGTTTGACATGAATGAATGGGCCAAAGGCCGTTTGACATGAATGAATGGGCCAAAGGCCGTTTGACATGAATGAATGGGCCAAAGGCCGTTTGACATGAATGAATGGGCCAAAGGCCGTTTGACATGAATGAATGGGCCAAAGGCCGTTTGACATGAATGAATGGGCCAAAGGCCGTTTGACATGAATGAATGGGCCAAAGGCCGTTTGACATGAATGAATGGGCCAAAGGCCGTTTGACATGAATGAATGGGCCAAAGGCCGTTTGACATGAATGAATGGGCCAAAGGCCGTTTGACATGAATGAATGGGCCAAAGGCCGTTTGACATGAATGAATGGGCCAAAGGCCGTTTGACATGAATGAATGGGCCAAAGGCCGTTTGACATGAATGAATGGGCCAAAGGCCGTTTGACATGAATGAATGGGCCAAAGGCCGTTTGACATGAATGAATGGGCCAAAGGCCGTTTGACATGAATGAATGGGCCAAAGGCCGTTTGACATGAATGAATGGGCCAAAGGCCGTTTGACATGAATGAATGGGCCAAAGGCCGTTTGACATGAATGAATGGGCCAAAGGCCGTTTGACATGAATGAATGGGCCAAAGGCCGTTTGACATGAATGAATGGGCCAAAGGCCGTTTGACATGAATGAATGGGCCAAAGGCCGTTTGACATGAATGAATGGGCCAAAGGCCGTTTGACATGAATGAATGGGCCAAAGGCCGTTTGACATGAATGAATGGGCCAAAGGCCGTTTGACATGAATGAATGGGCCAAAGGCCGTTTGACATGAATGAATGGGCCAAAGGCCGTTTGACATGAATGAATGGGCCAAAGGCCGTTTGACATGAATGAATGGGCCAAAGGCCGTTTGACATGAATGAATGGGCCAAAGGCCGTTTGACATGAATGAATGGGCCAAAGGCCGTTTGACATGAATGAATGGGCCAAAGGCCGTTTGACATGAATGAATGGGCCAAAGGCCGTTTGACATGAATGAATGGGCCAAAGGCCGTTTGACATGAATGAATGGGCCAAAGGCCGTTTGACATGAATGAATGGGCCAAAGGCCGTTTGACATGAATGAATGGGCCAAAGGCCGTTTGACATGAATGAATGGGCCAAAGGCCGTTTGACATGAATGAATGGGCCAAAGGCCGTTTGACATGAATGAATGGGCCAAAGGCCGTTTGACATGAATGAATGGGCCAAAGGCCGTTTGACATGAATGAATGGGCCAAAGGCCGTTTGACATGAATGAATGGGCCAAAGGCCGTTTGACATGAATGAATGGGCCAAAGGCCGTTTGACATGAATGAATGGGCCAAAGGCCGTTTGACATGAATGAATGGGCCAAAGGCCGTTTGACATGAATGAATGGGCCAAAGGCCGTTTGACATGAATGAATGGGCCAAAGGCCGTTTGACATGAATGAATGGGCCAAAGGCCGTTTGACATGAATGAATGGGCCAAAGGCCGTTTGACATGAATGAATGGG